CAAAAGAATACACATTGCACATTTCAATATAAATACTTCCACTTTTTTCCCATTATTATGACAAAAAGACAAATGACATAGTTCTTTCTTTCCTTATCTCTAAAAAGAGATACTAACTTATAATATTTAAAAAAATCAACAAAATAATGTCTAAATAAACTTCTGAATACATATTGAAAATGAAAACAAATGAATCAATTGTTTTGCTTCAATTACAACATATTTCTACATGAGATTAGATTCATATTACTAAAGTATGTTTACATGCAGTGATGGGCAAAAAAGAAGCATGGAACATTCCTTAAATAAATATACTCTCTTTGAAATACATATCCAGAATATAGGTTTTTGTTATAGTACTTTGTAGCAGAGTAATGATTATCTAACTGGTCTCAGATAATTATTATTGTAGAAATAGACCTCTAAATAAATATTAACTTTGGGCTCCATATAAGTTCTATTCTCACTGGTGAGTCCTACAATTGTTGCCCTTTACTTAGACTAAGCTTAGGATCTGTGTTTTCTCAAACATTTTTGGCTATGAAACAAAACATGAAAACTTAGTCTCATAATCCTTAAGATTAAATCAGTTTTAGTGTTTCTCCATTTAGCTTTATCCAATAAAATTGAATGAAATTTAATAATCAATAAATTATGATATTTCATTTGTTGATTAGAAGCGCATCATGAAATTGCACTATTTGCATATTACAGCAAACCAAAAAAGTAACACCAGAAATGTGCAAGAAATGATACTGTAATTTAATCTGGCTTACCTGCCTTGCTAAACAAGTATTAGACTGAAATATGTAAAAGTTTTGTATTATTTTAATTTAATTAATTTTTTTTAACAATGATGTTCACTGTGTACAAGGCTCAAGAGACATTCAAAGTAGAGGGTTACAGAGTAAGAAGCATAGTTTATGGGAATATGTAGGGAAGATAACAATTAATCTGAAACAGTTTAATATTGTAGTGATTGGGAGTTGATTTCACAAAGTAGTAATTCATGGGAAGAAGTTGTTTTGATTTTGATAAAAACTGTTATTAAAAAGATTTGTCACCAAAATTCACATACAAAAATTGCCAAAAACAGTTGCTGTAATAAAAACTTAGAAATCCAATATTTCTAGATTGCAGATCTGGATCTGTCCTGGAATGTTTTTAATTTGCTCATGGGGTCAGCCTAATTCCAAAATGCTATAATATGTTGGGCTCCAGCCTCTAGGAGTAAAGTTGAAAAAGTGTGACACAGTGGCACACTGACATCGGCATTTATTATATAGAAGAAGAAGATGAGCTACTGAAAGTTAGAGAGTTGTGTCACTTTAATTGAAAAAGTGTGCTGCAGTGACAATGATATTTGCATTTATTATATAGATTATTATTGATTGGGAATAGGGAATATCAACAAAGTGAGATTAGAATACAAATATGCAAAATTCAATATACCTATTATGACACACAATCTGATAAGGTTATACCACATACATGCATCATAGCTAGTTATGTGCAATAGGGTGTCAAGTTTTGCTAAAATTAGTGCATAAACTTGCAAATAGGACCCAGTTAAAATACCTCTAGGTTGAGTAACACAGTCTGCTCAGATGTTCTCCTATTGAGGGTGTTCATATGTAACTTCCTAGTTGCCTTAGTAGCTTCATCTATTATAACTGATAATATTTATGATTAGTGATGAACAGAGGTACTCAAGCAGAAACATAATAAATTTTCCCCATAAATTTGATCTGTATGTGTGATAGTTGATACTAAGAATAATGATTAAACTGACAGATCTTGTTTGAATATCTATCTATTTATATATGTGTGTGTGTGTCTCTCTGTCTGTTTCTATCTATCTATCTATCTATCTATCTATCTATCTATCTATCTATCTATCTCTATCTATCTATCTATCTATCTATCTATCTCTGTTAATATTTGATGTTACATGCAGTGCCTTCTCAAATGCATCCAATACACAATAATCCATGGGATTACAATCAGGGTATTAGTGGGTGCAAGATGTTGGGGTTGGTGAAATTGTAAAAATTTTCTGACAACCACTTCTGACTTCCAGCAGCCACCCTCTTCAACCAAGGCTTGGCCATAATGTTCAGCAACTCCACATAACCATCCCAATTGAACCTGATGTGAGATGGCATGTCATCATCCTCATTGGAGAAACACCCCAAAACTATCACAGTTTTGGGAAACTTGGAATGTCATATGGATTGTAGGCAAGCCATCCATGAACAATTGTTGGTGAAACAATATGCTTCAGAATCACAAAAGATTGATAAGCTGTAAAAAAACAAATCAGAAGAATAGAGAGGGTGACCAACCAATTCAAAGCTGCAGTCATGCACAGCAGCTATCAAAACCAAGGTATTGTGTGTTGGAGCTTTGTCCTGATGAAACAAGTCCCCTTTTGTCAATTTTCCTGGGTGCTTGGTCTTATTAACCTTTCATAACTGCCTCAGCAATTTGGCATAATACACACCATTGACAGTGTGGCTCCTTTGAAGATAATAAACACAATGCCTTTTGAATCTCCCAAAAATGTGGCCATCATTTTCCCTGCAGATGAAATGACCTTATCTTTGGAGCAAGTGAGTAGGGGTGTTTCTACTGCATGGATTGTCTCTTTGTCTCTGGCTCAAGGTGATGAACCCAGGACTCATCCTGGGTTAAGAAATGTTCAAGGAAACAGATGGATCTACATCAGTTAATGTTAAACTTTCCAATGATGTGATCAGGTATCAGAAGGCACCCCCCCCCACACTGAGCAGAAACCTTTGTCATGCCAAGTTCATTGTGCAGAATATTCACAACTCTTTCATGGGATATGCTAATAGAATTGGCTATTTGATTTATAGTCAATCACCTGTCATCCATCACCATGTGATGAATATGATCAATGTTTTATTTGGTGGTGGCAATTGCATGATGCCCTTGGGTAATCTTCAAGATTCTCCTTTCCCCTCCCAAATTCAGCTGCTCACTTTGCACTGTTGATAAAGCTGGAGCATCATCCCCTAATGTAGTTACCTTGACAGCATGAATGTCTTTGGAGGCTAAACTCTTTTTTGCAGGTACATAATAATACCATGATGCTGAATTCTGTCCATTTTCAAGATAAATACTAGTTACTTTTGAAGTCTTCTTTGAACTGTCAGATGTAAGTTTACCTGGAAAGAAAGAATGCAGTTATTAATAAAAAGAGTTGAAATTAATGTATGCAAGATTTCACAGCTCTACCATCATTCCATTATAGTCAACTTATGAAGTTTTCAGCCCACCCTTGTACATTTTTCACTCCATTGGCAATGTTAATTGTTTTAAAAAAAGGGATGACAAGAATTTTAATAAAACCTCAAAATGTGGAAGTGAATTTATACAGTTTCTTTATTCTTGAGAATTGACAACGAAGATATTAAACACTATATATTTATTATTGTTTATTTACAAGAATAATTTTATATTTACAAGATTATAAAAATATGCAAATTAACTATAATGAAAAATTTATTATTTTCCATTTTATAAAGAAATAAATATAAAAAGAATTTTTTATTTATATATTTATAAAAAATCGAAAATTAAAGTAATCTGAGATATAAAATAATTTGAGAAGAAAATTTATAATGTCCAGAAAACCATGTTTATTCAAATTTTCTTGTTCTATATTTCATAGATACTTTTATAAAATTATGAAATAAAAACTTATTTATAAAATGGTATTGCATAAAATAAATATTTCATTCTTGTTGGTTTACATATTTTAATAATTTTGTAATTTTTTAAATAAATTTTTGAATAAAAAGATTTCCTTTCAAATTTGTTTCTTTATAAAATGGCAAATAATAAATTTTTATAAAAGGCAAATAATTACTATTGCATTTTACTTGGTTAACATATTTTTATAATCTTGTAAATAAACATTGTGAGGGAATGAAAAGTATATATAGTAATAATATGGGTATCAAAGAAATAAAACTAATCTGGTGAAGGAGCCTGTTTTGGCTCTGATAACTTGACTATTCAGGTTTTAAATTTAGAGTTGTCCTTTTCCTAGACTGGTTGCTACCCAAGGCTATAGGCCCTATCCTGCTATTTATCCATAGTGAAGGGGATAAGAAATGGATTCAAACCTTTTGCAAGGGTATTTACATGTAAATGAATGTAAAAAAGTAGACTGGAATTCAAACTCAGCTCTCCAATTCCTCAATCCAAGCTGCTACCCACTGTGCCTCCATCCCTTGCAGTTTTAATCCTTAGATACAATTAAAAGCAATGACACATGCATGCTTTCTTAGAAACCACATGATTGATAGATTTATTTTTATCTGCCATTATACATGAAACATTTTGTTTTCAGTATGGATGCCTTTCAAATGTTAATTTTTATACTATTATTTTGTTTTCATTATCTTTTTATAACCTGTTACTTATTTCTTTCTTTCTTTCTTTTTTTAATTATTTCTTTTATATTCTTAACACTTTTGCCTAATATGATTACTTGAGGCTCTCAACAAAATTCAAAGACAGATATGCAGTGATTGGTCCTGACTTGGGGTCTCAACTTCAGTCACTTTCTCATCAATGTAATGTGGCTTCCCTCTGTCTTTTCCATAAATATTTTCATGGCATCTGCTCTGATGAGCTATTTTTACTTGTGCCCTGACTGGATGAATTTAAACATACTACTAGGTTGGCATCTCGGTCCCACCCTTTTACTGTTGAAACAGCTAAATGTAACTGCCTCTTCTACTCCAACAGCTTTCCTCGGACTTCCGACAGTGGAACTTTCTTCCTCTTACTTGCTTTCTTGATAACTCTAATCTTCAAAAATTTAAATGTAATGTCAATCGACATCTTCTATTGTCTTGATCTCCATTCCTCTTTTTATCCTTTCCTCACCCCAGTCTATTCCTTTACTTCCACTCTCTGTAGCCCCTAGTAGCACTCCTGTCTTGATCTACTACAGCTAGACTATAGTCAAATCATGCTGAAAACACCATTTACCATTTGATCACTGAAGTTAAGCAGTGTTGAGCTCATTCAGTACTTACATGGGGGACCACTTATAAAAATCAGGTACTGTAAGCAACACCCTATAATTCAAAATATCTATCAGCTTTAAATAACCCATGAAGAGTTGATAAGCTGTAAAAACAAATCAACTGAAAAATACTGTTAGCACCATTGATAAAACATGATCTTTTGATAGATTTATTAAGTAGGTATCTCAGAACTTACATTAATTCTATTAATTACATATATAATGACATATTAAATAATAAAAGCATACACATAAATTAATTACTAATTATATTACCATAGAAAATTAGTGTAAATTATTTTACTATAGAAATAAGCTGTTTATATTTGATAGGTTTTATCAAATGTGTCAAAACTTTCATTTCCTCTAATCATTACACAGATGGTACGGTGGATAAATTGTCATCTAAATGACGCAAAAATAAAAATTACACTGACATTTCATTTTAACAGATATATTTATCAAAATTACACAAAATATCTTGAAATACTAAAGAGTAAATTGATTCAATAAAATCTCCATTGGCTTCAACCATGGCCTCCTGACAACTTCACAATCTCCTGCAACTCTTCTGGATGGTCTCCTTGTTTAAGTTGGTGAATGCTGCCATAATCATTGCCTTCAGTTCAGCTTTGGTATTACAAGGAATTTTGTTGGTCTCTCACTCAACTGTGCTCCATGCATAATAATCAAGAGGGTTGCAGTCTGGAGAGTTAGGTGGCCATATGTGTGTTTACAGAAATTGTTTGACAGCCATGACTGTGTTCTCCTGCTTGTGTGACATGGTTTAGAGTCCTGTTGCCAGATATAGTGTCTTTCAGCAGCCACCTTTTTGACTCAGGGCAGCACTACCTCCTAAAGGCACTTGATGTAGACCTCTGTGTTGAGGCTGAAGCCCTGTGGAAAGATGAATGGAGGCATGATGTTGCTATCACTAGTGATCATTCCAAACACCATGATATTAACTGGATATATCATTCAACTCTTTGTATATCCTCTGCTCTGTCCTCAGATTGACTCACAAACACTCTGATATTTTTGTATTGGAGCTGCTAAGCAATACAGCATACCATTTCCAAATTTCTGGAAGAGTGAATTGGATCATGGTGCTCTTTTTCTCAGAGTTGGTGCCCAACTGTCCCTACTATACTGTGCAGTCAACAAAATCAAAAACAATGCTCATGTGTGAAATTAAAAATATAAAATGGCGACAATTTACTCAACGCACACTATATAGTGACATAGTAAATACTCAAAATGTATATAGAGATTTATTACAAATTATTTTTTTATAGAAATGCATTAGAAATTAATTACTTAACTGGTTGCCTATATAACATTACTGAGTGGAGGGCTTCTTAGACTGAAGTCAGTAGCCAGACTGGAATGTTTCCTTTGATGGAATGAATGACCACAAGTCAGAAGTCATTGGCTATGGTTTGACCTGAAGAGGGATGAGCTCTGCCAATTCTATTTTTCCCAAAACATGCTACACATGAATGAATATCTACTGAGATATGTGAAGAGATCTGGTCAGAAACTTTATTCTAATAACTGCATATATAGTGACATAGCAAACACTCAAAGCATGTATAAAAATTCATTGGAAATGATTTTGCATTAGAAATTATTTATTTAGCCAATTGTTTATATATCCAATTATATGTTGGGTAAAATTTATCAAACAAATGTGTCAATATTTTTCTTTTATCTGATTATTACATATGTAATGACAAAGTAGACTTTTTTGTTGGAGGAAAATAAAATAGTATTTGTGATTGCATTTTAGTGCAGAGTTCATTTGGAGCTGGTTTCTCCTCAGTTTACTGCAGAATTTGGGAAATCATGGCTCTCCGCAAATTCCTATCATTTGTATCTCTTAGCAATGTTTGTCTTTTTGGTATCTCTCTTAATTCTTTCTTTTGCAAACCATTTACACAATCTCATTAGGTAAGTTATGTGCTGCTTTCCTCTGGCTCTCTTGCTTTCAATATGTCCTGTGAGTATTATATACTCCAAGCCCTCTTTTGTCATTATGTGCTGAAGAATTTTCAATTTTCTCTCTTTTTTTTACAGTGATGTTCACCCTGTATTAGGCCCGAGAGCCACTCGAGGTAGAAGGTTACAGAGTAATAGTCACAGTTTATGCAGATATGTGGGGAAGATAATGGTTAGTCCTAAACTTGAACAGGTTAAGATTGTAGTGATTAGGAAAACATCCTCTTGGGAATCTGTTCCAGAGAGCAGTGCTTCACAGGGAAGAAGCTGCTTGAGTGGAACTTACATCTCACCAATGGAATACAAAAGGAATGAGGGTGGTTCACTACAATGTATGTAACATGGCGAGTCTTAGATGTGAAGGTTAGAATTAGTGAAACTAAAGAATGTAGTTCATCTGAGCACTTTCCATGGAAATAGCAACAGAGCAGTGAAAAGCTTGCAACATTTCATCTGTGAGAAAAGGAATTGTGGGGTGGAATCTCATTGTAAGTAAAATTTTCCTTTTTGTTTCCATTTTTCCTAAAACTTCCTTGTTACTGACATGTTCAGTCCATGGTACTCTCAGCATTCTTCTGTAGAGCAACATTTCTGTTATCTTAATTTCTCTTCTTCATCTGTGAGAAGATTGTTCAGTTCACACTCCTCTCCTGTCTTTTAAACAAGAGTAGAAGTTTATCCTTTCTTCCTGTTTAAGATTGGGTTTCTGGTTTCTTCTAAAGTCCCTTTGAACTCTATACACCTAATGCATGTCCTTTCTTACACTAATATAACTCCACACAGTAACCCTCTACACTGAATTGCTCTTGAGCCTTGTATTGGGTGAACATTAGTAACTCCTCATCCCAGAAATTCAGACAAAAGATATGTTGAAAGATTATCTATTTCTATATGATAAATTCAAACCTGTTCAAGTCTAGAGTTAACTGTTATCCTCTTCTCCTGTCCATATAAACTAACCCTTAACATAGCCATCTATGTTGAGTGGCTCCTGGGCCTTGTACAGGGTGAATCTTATTGTAAAAAAAAAACAAAACAAAAGTGTTTTTGTCTTCTGTTTCTACCAGACTAAATATTTGTATACAAAAACAAATCCAGCATTTTCTACTGCCTTTTTTATGTCACTTTACTTTTTTTGTAATGATTTATTATATTTTAGAAGCAAATATTTCACAGATACATGATCTTAATATTAGAACATTAATATTAGAAATTTATGACCTGTTCTTATATACTATATTCATAATGAAAAGAAGCAAAAATTACTTTATTGTAAGCTCAGCTTTGTTTAGCCAAGTGGTTTTTAACTTGTGGGTGCATGCAGTATTGGATAAGGCAATTTCTAAATCTAGTAAAGAAAGCTTTCTTCAAGTAATTCTTTTGTTGATGAATAGATATCTTTGTTAATCAGGATATTTTTTGTACTAAGACAGAAAGGTGAAATCCCAATTAATACCAGGGAATCAGCCGTATAAATTATAGATAGATTACATTTAAAACCAGTAGACATTACTTCTATTTACAGAGGAAAGGCTGTTTAGACTTTATATAAATGGTTTCAAGAATTTTTAGATGGTAATCTGGATGCACTTTGTTGATTATGGTGAAAAAAATTGCTGGAAAAGGATGAGTCACAGATTGCATTTATGAGGTGTTCAGCAATATTTGTTTTAGATTTATTGATTTCAAAAGAAGAAATCATTGCTATAAAAAATAAACAGATATCAAACATGGATCTTGAAGTAAAATTAATGGATAATTTGTTGGTATTGCAGATCCAGATATCTCCAAATCTAGTAAAGAAATCTTTTCTTTAAGTAATTCTTTTGTTGGTGACTAGATACCTTTGTTAATCAGAACTTGTCTCTCTACTTCATATTGTAGCAGTTGTTAAAACTTTTTGCTAGACATGTATATATTGATAACCCTGCCGGAAACAGCAAAACCTTTTCAGCTTTTGGGCATGTGTAGAAAACTGGGAGCATGCATGCTACAAATCCCAAGATTCCACTTTCAGTTGAGGCCAAGGTCATGATAGGATGCTAAAATTAGCACTTTGTGCAATAGATGTACATAGACTAGACAATATACCTCACTGACTCTTTAACTCACCAACAATAAGTTCAGATTTTTCCTCATTCTCTACAGAGACTCTTATAAACATTGCTTAAATTTGTACTTTCTTTCAGAAGCATTTCTTGTATTTTTCTCTACACAAAAAGTTTCCAATAGAATAAAGATTTCTATCTTGTTTCATTTCACTTCCTTGTTTGTTTATTTTCTCAACCAATTCAACACTTTTAGTTTTTGTTGTTAACACACAAAACCTTATCAACTTCAAATGACAACCCCTAACCTAATAACAACAATATAAAGACATTTAAAAAGTCTACATCCAGATGGCTGTCAGTACCAAATTATGATGCATTTAGCCTTGCGATTTTTAATTTGGAAATGTATGCAGCCTCAAGTAGCAGGTAAGACAATTTTTAAATTTAGTAAAGAAAGCCTTTGAATAATTTATTTTTCTCTGTGACTAAATATCTTTGTGAATAAGGATTTTTATCTCTACTTCATATAAAGACAAAATCTAGAAATTCAAGACCTAGATTGCAATCAGCACTAAAAGGCAATGCAGAGTACAAAATACCCAATTGGAACTCCAATTCTTTAACTCAAACAGAAGTTCTTACTTCAATGTTCAAAGCTCATATCTTGATTTCTTCCAGCTCCACAAAGCCACTTCTGGGATACCATCCAAAAATGCCAGGATCATATGCCATCTTTTCTGATCAATCAGAAAAAGCCCATGTGTTTTTCACAGCAGCTGTTTCTAATCCACTGACTCATCATAAAACCAATGCTGATATCACCCACGAAGGCAAGTCCAACTCGAGTGACATTCCACAGCAGGTAAGCTTAACTGAATGTAGCAAGCTACATATTTACTCAAGTCATCAGCTATGATACCAAGTACTTCTATTAACAATGATACCTTCAGTCTATGATGTAATCATCACCAGCAGAGATTAATTCTCAACTATTAC